ATGAGAGATGAGGCTGAGTTGGGACTCTATCCTTTGGCCATTGAAGGAGACTCATGGAAAGATTTCATGTCACAGTATGAAGGACAAGTTGTGAGAAACAAGAATGAAGACAGCGGAACCAGTTAGAAGCCTGGTATGCAAAGAGTCTAGGTGATTGATAAGGTCCTCAGGATAACAAATATTTGAATTTATTTAATAAACATGAACATAGTATTTATGTGTCAAATCCTGGTCTAAGCACTTTATAAATATTAACTCATCCCCTATAACTATAACATCCCTGTGAGGTAAGTGTTATTAGCATCATCCTAGTTTTTTTGATTGAGTATATCAAGGCACTGAGAGGCTAGGAATTTTGCTTAAGGTTATACAGCTAGTAAATTATAAAGCCAGAATTTGAACCCAGGCAGTTTGTCTTCAGCATATTTCCTCTTAACCATTACACCACATTGCCTTTTTGGTGTTCCAGAGCAGTTCATTCATTCTATGGATTGGGTAAGTAGGTGGATGGTGGATGGTGGCAGCATTTACGGACACCAGGAACACATCAGGAGAAACAGATTTCTTTTGGACAAATGTAGAGCTATGAGTTCAATTTGGATATGGTGAGTTTGAGATCCTTCTTCCTAAAACTTTGCTCAGGCCCTACTGACCAAGGATAATTGTTGACTATAGCCAGTTGTTTCTAGAGCCCTAGAAACAGATTAAGCGTCAGTGTCAATGCTAGTGTGAAAGCATCCTGGGGACCTCTTGGTTTCTGTGTGGGGTCAAAGTAGTGACACATGATGGAGGCTGGCAGGGCATGTGCATTCACACGTCTACTGCTCACTACCTAACTTCCCCTAAATCAGATGTCAACATGGGGCTTATCACTGAGAGCTGTGCTACAGTGCAGTTTTAGTGGAAGTTCAGAAATATGAAGTTCTTTCCTACATTTTCTCTTCAAATCTCATTACAAAGGTAAAAGACTTCTCATTTTTTTGAGCACATTTTGAACAACAATCATAGTCCAAAGGTCACTGAGATGGGGTCATTGTGACAAACATTTTAAGTGAATAAAAATTTGGAAGGTTTCACTTTAATTCAGTTAAGACAAGGCAATGAAAATCATATCTGCCTAAGAGAACTAAACTTAGCCAAAATTCTGCCCAAACCCTCAGATTCAACTTCATTACTGCCAGTTGGAATTATCCCAAAATACTTAAAAGAGGCAAGTCAAGTCTATGACACATCATTGTGCCAGAGCTTTTTGTCTGTTGCTTATTGTTAATTTTATTTTTTCCTGTTTGCCAAGGTTTAGAAATGGGTACAAGATAAAACAAATTTTTGAAGAAGATTTCAAATTGTCGATGGTTGTTGAATTCCATTCATTAATATTCTTGCCTCAGGAGAAGAAGGAAATAAAACATTTCTCAACAAATAGGTAAGTCTTGACATATTGCCTTGTCATGCAACTAGAGGATGGGACAGAGAAAGACAAGTTGTTTTATATTTGAATAACTGTTCTTTTATGTGCAGTGGTTCCTCTGGGAACATCTCTGAATTCATTCTGTGACTCCTAATTCTTCAAGATGTATATAGCTTTCTATAATTAAATTGCCATGATGGACCCACTCAATAGGACCCATTCAATTGTTTGCCCATTGTCCTAGAACGCAGTGAATTCTCCCTTAATTTCTCCCAGAAGTTCACAAGTCAGGAAGTCAGAAAACCACTGCACACAAACCCTCCTAAATTTTTGGCTGAGTTTGTAGATTAAATTAGGAGTATCTCTCTCCAAGTACAAGCTGTACCCATAACAGAATGATAGGCATGCCAAGCTACTCAAATAGTCCTTCCAATACCAACACACGGGTTTGTATTAAAATACTATATTATTATCCTTGGACAGACTGAAGTAACTTTTCCCTTAAGATCCTACTAATAAAATAATAAGTAGAATAAAATTGGTCAAATTGAAGAAATAGCTTATAAATCCAATTTCACCTTTTCCTCTGGACTTATGACCCATATATTACACAGGGCATATTCACCAGGATGTCATAGATCCTTCAGTCTCACAATGCCCAACATCTTCTGTGCAAGATGAGTTCTTCCTCTTAGAGTTTTTCCTTCAGTTAGTGGCATCATCATGTACCTGAGCCAGAAACCCAAGAGAAGTTTCAACTTCATTTCCCTAGCTCTCCACACCAGTCAATAGCCCTGGCTTTATGTATGACCTTCTAAATATTTCTCCAGAAGATACTCTTTTCCATCACCATTGCCACAACCATTGCTTTATTTCAGTCCAACATCATCTCTCCTTTGGACTATTGCAATTTCCTCCTAACTATTCTCAACTATTTGCAGTCTCTTCACCCATCCTATCTATATCTTCCTCCACAAAACCATGGAAGTAAAATTTCTATATCACAATCTTATTATTTGCCTCTTACTTCTTTCCCCCACTCCCTACCTCATTAGTTTCTAAAATCTTACATAAGAGAGGTTAAGCTCCCTGTATAGCACGAAAGGCCCTTCATGGCCTCCTCCTCCAAACCATGTTCTCATCTTTCTTTGTTCTCCAGTAATGAGTTCTCTGAGAACATTCCAAGGGTTTTCAAGCCTCCATCGCTGTCCAGAATGGGTCAGATCCCACAGTGACTACTATTTAGGTAGCATCCAAAAACCTCTATAAAGACCCCTTCCAGCTATTTCTGTAGCTCAGGGAATTGTCCAGACTTGCCTCTTATCCGGGTTCTTTGTAATCATGTTTTATCCATATTTTCCCTCAACAATTTACTTTTTACTCAGCTTCTCCTTAGTGTTTTTCTCTGGTTTTCTCTCTTCTGGTTCAAAGCAGAAAAGCCTTCAGGCAAGTGACACTCCATTGCTACATTCTACCCCAAGCCCTTCATATTAAATGCCAACAAAAGTCCATCGGGAAGGTGGGATGAGTCTCTGCCTTTGTACAACGACACCCTTGTTCTTCCTCCTCTACTGGTTACAAATGCTTTTCATTGTCCTTCAAAACCCAGCTTGCATGTCCCCAACTCCGAGAGGTCTTCCCTGTTCTATTCAGGGATAGATATTCATTCCCTCTTATTTGCTGCTCTGTAACTTGTGCAAATTTCTATTTCATTTATCACTATTCTGTGATCTTGAATAATACCTTTAAGTTTGCTGTGGCTGATCTGTAATAATGGGATAAATGAACTCTCAGGGTTGCCGTCAATAGTAGATACTCAACTAGTGTTTACTAAGAACTGGTGGAAAGAATACTCCTAACTAGGAACAGAAAGTCGTATAAAGGTTGGAGATGCATTCATACCATGACTCTTTTAGGGGTTAGGTACACCACTCTCGTGATTTTGAAGTTCCTGTTATCTACTCTTAAAAACTTATGGCTCTGGACATGGTAGGATTGATATAACTGGGTCTTCAATTCCACAAAAACGCCTTTTGAGAACTTAAGTGAAATTAGACGAAGAATATTAATACTTGTGAAGATTATCTTTCTGTATCAGGAGTAAATGTAGTATTTATTCACATACTGGGCTGCCTAAAGTGAAGTTGGTCAATGAATTTATCAATTGCCATCATTTAGTAAAGTGGTCTCTGATCTATGGTAAAGTGATGACCTTAGATCCTTGATTTATAGAAAATGTGCCTTTGCACAAACATACACCACTATCAGGGTTTCCTATGTAACAGAAATCTCAGGGAGTCAAGAGGATTTCCCCAAAGTTAGTTCTCTTCTCCAAATGGAACAGATCCTGTTTTCTACCCTCATTAGGTCATTTGATAATCTAATGGTCACTAACAATGGTTTCCTCATCATTTTCCACAGTCTGTTTTTCTTGTCCTCTCTGCACTATATGTCACTCTTGAAACCCACCTTATTCTTTAAAAAATTTTCCTCTTGGCTTCTGTAATACTCAGCTATATTGATCTTTATTCAAGCCTTGCCTCCTCTGACTTTTATTTCTTCAGCCGAAAAATGTAAAATGTACATATCTTGCATGTTTTCATTCTAGAATTCTGCTCTTCCTTCTGTGTCTTCTCTTTGCTTTCCTTGGATAGATGGGTAAAACCGAAGCAGTATTTCAAGCCCTACATCTATTCCATGACCCAGTTTGGAGTTTTTCTGTCTGCTGCATATTTCCACAAATATATCTCTATCATTACTTTATATTCAATATTCTATCTCCAAAGCCAATAATTAAATCCCTCTCAGGAATGGATTCTCCTGTCTCTGCTAATCATGCCCCCATGTTTTAGTTGTACAGATATCTGATTAATGAAAACACATTAGACAGCCACCTTAAGTACATTTTTTTCTCCAGTTGCTTGGAAAGTAGACAGAGACAGAGTCTGCACTTTTTCAGAATATTTTATTTACTTTTCAAAATTTCTGTTTTCAAAGGTTTAAGCTTACGGAGAAGATTATTCAAACTAAGAAATACCTGTAAAAGCAATTTTTAAGAAAATACCCCTGCTTTTTTCTCCTTTAAGGGGAAAATGGGAAATCAGAAGAAATAATTCATAAGATTTGTGCTCTTAAGTTTGCAATAGTATGTTTACATATTTCTTGTTTGTTTCCTTCACAAGCAATTTTCATTATCAGTTAGGAATTCTGAGTTTACTATGTACCATTCTTCACTAATAGCATTTCAGGCTCCAAGATCTTTAATCAACATTAATTTTAGATCAAAGTTTTCTAATATGAGCATGTTGAGGGTTCAGGTTTACAAAATTTAAAACAACCCATTTCCTTTGGATCTGTACTCACTAAAAATAATCAGACTCTCATCACTTACTCCATGGTGCCTAACAATATCCTACAAAACCATTAAAAGTAGAAAAACTCCTTTGTTGCCCCTGCTAGTGGGAGGTGTTAAGTTCTCCTGCTGCTCTTTAGGCCCATGTACATCATAGGTGTAAATAAAACTCACAGTGAGCTGAACCTGCTCATCTCGTTGTTTAAACCTCACCCACCAGATGGTTCAGACTGTGTTTATTCAACTGCAAACTATTTTCTGAACTCAACATAGAAAATCAATCAGACCAGCTCTTGGGCTGCCAGAAGACAGGAAGGTCACAGGAAGTCTACGGAAAGCAGGTAAGAAGCAAGTTCTTTCTAGAACCCCAGAGATTTTTGTCTCTAGCTAGTTTCATGGAATAAAGCATGGAATTAAGCAAATTAATGGTTTTAGCATTAAATAAAGGCCTGATACAGAAAAATCTACTTTCCCTCATTTTTAAAGATATTTCCCTGTTTTTTTTCCCCTAACAATAAAAACAAAGGGGTCAAAAACATGCCAAAAAGTGATGAACAGAAGAAGACAATGTTATTTAGCGATTGTTTAATATTTTTGTGGCCTTTCTGCTTTAATAATATTCAGATGCTCAACTACTTTTTATTCTCCAGATTTTACAAATATAGCAGTAGAAGATGTGAGGCCTTTAGGAAATCTAATGGTCAGAATTTAAGATAGCAACATTTGTTTTATTTCCCCCTCCTCCTATTTCATTTAGTCTGAGGATTCTTTTGAAATTCACATAAAGGAAATTTTACAATCCAGAAAAAATTTTACACAGTTTTCCTGTGCAAATCGCCATATATCCTTGACTAGGCAAACTGCTCAACCAAATGTAGCCCTATAGAATGTTCCAGAAGGTCAGCTACCATGAGAAAAGGTCACTTACGTGAAATCTGGGGTTTAGAATCCTGCCTGATGTGGAGTTTGGATTTGTTTGTTTTTGCAGCTCTGGGTCCATATTTTTATTTTGCCTCTAGGAAAGCATTCAGGGTTGGGAATTTTCTTGCTTTTGCCCAAATCATTCCCATGGCCATTTTACTAAGAAACATTGCTACTGGATGACCTGAAGCAAGTCCATCAATAGCTAGTGCCCATTTCAGCTATCATCATAGCTCCTGGTGAAGATTCCCTGCACATAACTAAACCTCTGCTATTAGAATCAAGAGTAGCATTGAAATACAGATTCAAAAACCTGCCTGAGAATTTATTTTTTCATTACCTGTTTGGACAGAGAGTTAGGCACAAAAAGTTTGCGTCATTGGATCGTTTTTAATCCCTCATGCTACTCTTTATTTTGATTATTTTTGTGGATTATCCATCATGTCTTCATCAGGCATTTGAAACTCATTAAGTCTTCAAGTATTTTTGTTTTTTTAAAGCAATAATGCCTGAAAGAGGCAATATATGGAAATTTGTTCTATCCAGAAAATATCAGTTGATAGTGTTGGGGAGGAAGAAATTTCCTCTACCTGTCCAGGTTCTTCTAGCTGGTCTAAGAATGAAATTGACAAAATAAAGATTAACAGGATGAAAAAACAAAGGTTAATTACCTATATAAGAGGAAGCCATAGATATGGGTTCCAGAGGTAGTCAGAGAGAATGAGGGATATATGTCATCCTCAACCAAGGAGAAGGGGGTAGGAATCTGAGACTCCAAAATTCATGGGATTATCAAAAGAGTAAATGTTTGATAAACAAAATATTTGATGGAGCACAGAGAGAAATTTTAATAGACAGCTGCATCCCTCCCTGCCTACCACCCTTAGTTTATATTATAATAAGCTATCTATGGTGATAGCTCTCCTTCTGAAGTAGTTTCTCCTTTTATGTGGTTGGGGTGGGAGGTCAAAGTATCTTCCTGAGTCTTTTGGGCCTTGATGGTTTTCAGTTTAAAATAATCTGGGGGTGACAATGGCACATCATGGGGCAGCCTGCCCTTGGTCCCTATAGTGGAATTGACTTAGCAAACTATATCCAGAACCAATCAATATTTGTTAAATCCTTCCAATATTTCTTTATTCTGATGTACTGAGTTGGAGAATGAAAAACCTAACTAAATCACTGTAGGGTAAATGGCAGAATTTCCAGAAGCTCCCACCTGTCCTTAGTCTATTTACATATCAATAGGTGTTTAGCACTGCAGAGCTTCCCATCAACCTGAGGCAAGGGGTGGAGAGAAAACAGCCAATCTCTTCTCCCCTCCATTGCTGATATGTAATTGATCTAGCCTGTCTGCCAGTCACCAAGGACCCACCCACGGAGTTCCTCCCAGAAGGGGCAGATGGGAAGTAGAGGGTGCACTGAGGCTGCAGAGCATGAACCCCGGCCAGAGGAGATGGATAGGGCCAAGCCTGACTGGTGACTCCAGGGAATAAAAGCCTTTCTCCCAACCTATCCTTTCCCTTGACTTATTTCAGTTTCAGTGGTTTCATAGGGAACTCACCCCAGGCCTGGAACACCCTTCCCCCTGGAGCTACATTCACTAACATAAAGCAATCGCTTTCTATATTTACTCATTCAGTGGATAAAAAGTGCGTAGGACTATCATTATGTAATATGTGGGGGTGGAATCATCTTCTAGGGTCAAGGACATTACATCATTGGGCTTTTTGCTGCTTTGTTTACTTTTGTGGTTCATGCTGTTGTTACTGTTTTGTTTATATACTGCCATCTTCTAAACAGAATCTAGTGAGTTTGACAAGCAAAGGGGAAGAAATTGAGAGATAATGATGACCTCATTTGAACCTGGAAAATCCAGAGTTCAGAGAAATCATTAAGGGTGCTTACCACTCACTGATCCTGGCAACTAGAGGGACCCTCACTAACATTTAGGCATAGTAGATGTGGGGACAAGCACTGCCTGCCTGTAGCCTTTTGTCCCAGAATAACCATTTATCCACATGGGCCTTTCCTTTGGGCAGTATGTTAGGTATGTGATATGTTAATGGCTTGTGGCTGGCCAAATCCAGGCCTGCTTTAACTATGGAAACATCTTGTTAGGAGGCAGACCCCTCTGACCAAGGTTTTGTTCTTTGGGGTGTTGGTCACACAAGAATGATCTATTTTAGCAAAGCAGGTAGTCACTGTCCCCTCACCCCAACATACACGTAGTCTCTGTCCCCTCACACCATATAAGCAGTTCCCTTCCTGTCTATGATAACAGTGTGCAACCTTATTCAGCTCACCATTCCTGTACTCCTGTACATTAAGTCCCAATAAACCCTCATGTCTCACATGGCATCTCTGGTCTTTCTTTTGGTCTTTTGAGACCTGTCCCATTGTAACTCACCCACTTGGGTGTGTGATTATGTTATGGATTGAGTTTGTTCTTGTTTCATGTCCCTGCTGCAAAATATAATTGAAAAGCAGAGACACAGTAGTGAAGCAGAGCAAGTTTTACTTGAATACACTCCAGGGGAGGAGTGGGCCAGAGTCAGGGCCCAAACTTTTAGTGGGGGGTCTATTTATCACTACCAAGCCAGGGAGGCATTTCCTTTGATTGACAGGGTGAGATCATTTGACTGACAGCTCTAGTTACACACACATTCCTCTTGGTATGCATGTCTTTTCCCAAAATAAACACAGAAAAGCCCATGATGGTGCTGGGTGGGGGTCCCAAAACTGCAATTTCAATGAAACTATGATGTGGTGTGGTTTGGGCAGTTCTTAGTTTTGTTCGACTGTGTCCACATTGGGACCTGGTTTACGCTTGTTGGGACTGGTCCATAGGCAAGAAGTTAACTCTCTGGAAAGCCTTTATTCTTTCCACGTTGGACCCCTTACCTAGGCAGTTTGGACAGTTTTCTTTTTTTTCCTTGAACTTTATCTTCCCCTTCCCCAGATGCTCATATCTATCTACTAACAATTAGATTTATTGTTGCACAGTAGGGTTGCCAGATTTAACATATGAAATTATAGGATGCCCTATTAGATTTGAATTTCAGATAAACAATGAATATTTTTTAATGTGAGTTTACCTGATGCAATATTTAAGACATACTTATATTAAAAATTTATTTGCTGCTTATCTGAAATTCAAATGTTATGGTCATCTTGCATTTTCTCTGGCAACCCTAGGAAGTGATGCACTGCAAGTCGCAAAGAGGGGCCTTGTCAGGGTGACTGCTGAAAATCACCCCACATGCCTTCTTTAGCACTCAGACCTTAAGTATTTGATTTCCAATGTATGTTGAGGGTAGGTGTATTATATTTGTTTTTTTATCAGTATAGTTGATCTACAATAGTAATTTCTACAGTTTAACTGAAGAATAATAATAAAAGCACCACTGAAATAAAACAAGTCATTCTGTCAGGGTAGAAACAGTTGCCAAATGATGGTGCCTTTCTTCTGAACACACACAAGATTCTTTTAAAAACATTTTAATTTGTATTGAAATAATTATTGTTGTAGGTAAGCAAATAATGCCACCTCAAGATAAGTCTCATTGGCATGTTGGTTATTTTAAACTGGTTATTTTAAAAAAACTATAGACGCAAGAAAAGCTTGGAAAACCATGTAGAAGTCACCCCTTTGTAAGAGACATTTACATGTGTAAATCTGGGGGAAAATCCCAGGGCAAAATATCTTTGAAACCTAAATTAGTCAAAGGGTGAAATAAAGTTTAAGAAAACCATTTATTTCTTACGAGCAGTCATCCCATCTCTCTCCAGACTCAGCTGCAGCAGAAGAGGAGAGCTCCACCCAACCTCTCCCATCGGATAAACCCACAAGTGCATGTCATTAACTATTGATATGGAAATGATACTTCTCTTCACCCCTTGGAAACACCTATTGATATACAGATGCACTAAAGCCAGGCAAGAGATTCTGGAAATACTGCAATTTTACCCATAGCATTAGGGAAACATCATTGTAAGTGTGTCTACTTGCTGAACCAGAAAGAGGTTAGTAAGACAATCTCTAGAAACTATTACTGAGGAAAAAGGCAAGTATTTAAATTTGCAGAACAACCACACCCTTGTTTACCTGTGCTTTTCCTGATAACCTCCCTTATCTGACTCCCCACCATCAACATCTATTGTCTTTAACAGAAGATGGTATTTAAGGCAATGACTTCAGCCCTTTTGGGAGTTACTCAGTTTTCCTGGATCTCTCCCATGTGTATAGGAGTATATATGTCACTCAACTTTCATTTGATTTTCTCCTGTTAATCAATCTCATGTTAATTCAATCCTTAGATCAGCTAAAAGAACCTTGAAAGGTAGAAGGAATTTTTTTCTCCATAACATTGTACATAGTTTGAGAAATATGATTGTAAAGGAATAGGGCCTCTCCCAG